CAATCGTCCCTTATCCTTTTTGCGCATGTGTCGGGTATCTCGTGTTCAATATTGTTGTCGTCGTCTGTATTTAAATTTCCTTCACAAAGCCCACCTCTACCAGACTATCGGGGTCGATATCCAAATTAGCCAGCTTGGTTCGTGAATTCTCTCGGATCCACAAGAATGCTTCAAGTGCTACCCGGCGTATGATACTGGAAATACTCCTCTTTTCTGGCCTTTGCACCCGCATAGTCTGTTTGCCCATGAGATAAACCGTTTGTGCTTCTTCGGCGGCCCGCAGCGCTTCAAGCTCTTCTCGAAACTCTGGCGGCATGTCGTTCTCATCAGGTGGGAAAGGACCTCGGGTGATAAAGGTCATCAACTCGTTAACAATCGTAGGCGCCAAGTTCGGTGTGAGAACGTCATCCATGTAACCATGTCGCAGAACAATACGATAGCATGAAGGAATTTTTGCTGTAACACGCGCAATGACGAACCGTTGGTCAGATGGAACCGTAGGCTGAGAGAGTGGGCGCATGTGGAAGAAGACGATCACCTGTGGCCTCGTCTGGAACTTCCGAACGAACTGCGAGAATACCTTGGGGATGTGATCACCACTCCCGCCCACTTTGTCGAAGAATATTCCGAGTCCTGGAGCGACCATTACTTGTCCGCCTCCAAACTCTGGTGAAAGCCTCAGCCTCGTCGAGCGCAGAGAGCCTTCACCTTGAATTCCCCTTGCTATTGAGTTGTTTCTCGAGGTACTCCGAGAGGACATGAGGAACTCTGCCGGGTCCACCATGTCCCTTTGCTCTGCTTCCCACTGCTGTTCTTTTCCCCATCGCCAAAGCATGACGAATGAACTAAGGATGGCGGACAGGACCAGCGCAAACCAACCACCGTCGGGCACCTTGTTCATTGCTGCACTAAGATAAATGCTGTCGAGCAGGATGAAGATGAGAAACCCGATGAGAACAACGATTGATGAGACACGCCAGATGATGAGTGCCACTAGTGACACCATGCACGTTGTAATAAAGCTAACGATAATGACACATGCGCCATAAGCATGACCCAAGCTCGTTGTCTAGTTCAAGCCAAGTCATGTCAGATGGATCCGTTTCAAAGTGACACAATGAGGCTGGGTGGGTGACTTACATTGTTATAAACCGCCGTAACCACAACAGTACCGGTCATGAGTAGCCAATTTGCCAGTGGCATATAGATCTGGTCGTGGAATCGACGGCTGGTGTGAACAGTCTTGATGTGGGGAAAGTAGCTGAGCCTCATCAACTGAGAAATGAGTTGGAAAGAGCTGGTGATCACGGCCTGGCTGGCGACAACAGCAGCGAGTGCAGCAATAATGATACTGAAGTACAGTGTGCTTTCGGGAACAGTGCGAAAGAATGGATTGGTAAAGGCCAGCCCAGTTTCATCCTGTGAAATATAAGCAGCCTGGCCACAATATGTGATCAACAAGCATGGGAATGCCAGGAACAACCATGAAAGCTGTATGGCTCGCTGTCCAAAAGCACCCAGATCTGCAAAGAGTGATTCAACGCCGGTGAAAGCGAGAAGTAATCCACCAAGAGACTTCCATCCATCAGAATCGTTCCGTATTAGGTATTTGAACGCATAATGTGGGCTGAAGGCCTTGAGTACGGTGTGGTCGTACAAGACAAGATTGTATATGCTGATGGAGAAGTTGTAGAGGAGCCAGACAACAACGACGGGAGCGAAAGAGGTGCCGATTTTGGAGGTGCCAATGAACTGCAGCAAGAAAAGCGCAATGAGGATCGCGCACGAGGTCCCCACGATAGCCGGTCTTCCCAGATCAGGTCTGATAACCTGAATCCCTTGGACGGCGCCTAAGACGGACTGGGCTGGTGTCAGAATGCTGTCGGCCACAACCATGGAAACGCCCAAGACGCCAACAATCTTGAGGACGCTTTGTGCAATCCGACTACGTTCCAGAAAATCACGGGCCATTCTCCCAGCAGGGGCGAGTTCGGCGCCCGTCTCACGATCGAGGCGCACAACAATTCTTTCCGGGCCGTTGGGATCGACGCGGGCAATGTTGGCATATCGAGCAAGGAGAGAGTAGAGAGCAAAGGTTCCTCCTTGACCATCGTCGTCGGCTGACAGGACGATGAAACAATATTTAAGTGTTACGATGATGGTGAGGGACCAGATGATTATCGACAGAGCTCCCACGAGGTCGTGCCATGACGGCTGCTCGCTAAAAGTCGAACTGAAAACATAAAGGAGACTGGTGCCAATGTCGCCATACACAACACCGGTAGTCTGCCAGGCGAGCCATAATAAGACCGCGCCCTTGTACGTCTTTTCGAAATGAGAAAGTCAGACCTCCATTCACAACGTCGCACATTTATCCCCCTGGAACTAGGACCTACCTGCTTCTTGTCGCGACACAGATCCTCGTGCTCGATTCGCTGGGCCTTTTCCTGGTCATGCAGGTCGCGGGCTTCGGGATCAGTGGGGGCGGCATCCTCGCTTTCTTCGGCGGCCGCGTTGACCCAGGCTTCTATTCTCTGGTTGCGGGCATTGTAGGAGATCATTTCGATCTGGAGTCGGCAAGGTAGGCCACTTGGTGACGCTGGGTCCAGAGACCAAAGGGCAAAGGCAAAGGGACTAAAACCTGGGGCTCATGCTTATATACTCGGCCATGTTCTGACTATGTACCTTGGTTAGTTAGGATGGTGGTGGATAATGGCGAGCCTAATCCTAGATGAGAACGCCATGGCTAGGCGAAACTGGGCTTTCCTGGTCCACTCTGCCAACAGCCACAAATCCTCGAGACTCGTGGACGGTGAACATCTTGACTGCCAAGACGTCCATTGGCAAGTGTCGGTGGTGCTGATAGGTCCAGGCGTACTCGGGATAGACCATCATGTCTTGAGCCTCTCCACCGAAGCTCAAGAAGGGTTTAATGGTCCGTTCTATCTGCGTGCTGAGGAGATGCACGCATATGCAGGCTTGAGGCTGTGCGTACCAAGGACCCAATTTTCCCCTCACTTGCAGACGGCTATACCCACGATGTCGACGAAGTGCTGCTCACACTCGACTCAAAAGATTCGAGAAACTGTCAAGGGGGGACCATTCCCTGATGGCTACTTTGAGTCAGTCCAATGACGTGCCGCCATCCATCCAGGTCGCCCTGTCATCCTCCAATCTAAGCGTTGAGAAGTGCGGGGAGTAGTCAAACTGGCCCATGAGCAGTTGGAGATGGTACTCTACATTGCGTGTTGCATTCGTACCGAGCGCCAAGACACTTGGGTTTCTCTGCTCTTTGTAAATAGTCTTGGCTGCTTACTTGTTGCATATGCTTTCGTAGAAGGGTCCTTCATCGGCCGTCCGAGAACAAGTTGATCGGCTTACCGAGTCTTTCCGTATGACGCTCGAGTCAGCTTTTGGTTGTATTTGTTGTGTAGTATCATGCATACCAGAACCCCTGCCAAAATATTGTCAGTTTATCAGCTTTAGCCAGTGCCCCACGTGAAAACTTAAGAGGTTTGGGAGTCCTGGAAGTCTTACGTTAAATAGTGTGATTGCGGTTCTCTCATGCTGGGCCAAGACTCTATACCGTCTTGTATCGGGCAATACTGTACGGAGTGATGGTGCACTTAACATGTTACGAAGCCACCCCGACCATCACCATGTGCATGCAATCAAGAGGCCGATGCCGATGCCAATGCTGCGAGTCTGAAACTGACCTGTGTAATGTGATAAGTGGGTGTGGTTTAAAAAGTGCCTTCCTCTCAAGGCCAGTTGCATCAAAAATCGGAGTTCGTGATATTCCTCAAAGTCACGATTGCCATTCTTGATTAGTACCCTGCTCTGGTAGGACCTTGGATAACCACGAAGGCTGGCTGCTACCTCAAGAACCCACAGGTGCGGAGAAAAGAGGCGCCGCACGATGGCGGCTGTCTACGGATAGGGAAGTGTACCTAGTATGTATTTGGGTAAGGTACCTAGGTACCTAGTTGCGCAATTGCTGGCCTTTCTATTAGTAGTAGGTAGTAAGGTAGGCATTCTAACTGCTTACATGTCAGAATCGATTGGCAATCTATCATATTGAGACTTAGATAGCCATTCCAATATAGATGATGATACTATGATGAATTATGTAATTCGCTGTAGAGTATTTCGCATTCAATGCTTGTGGATAGATAGACTGCGAGGTAGTATTCCGTATTTGGTCAAGATTCTACTCCGTACCTAGCGTATAGTAGCTTGTAAAGGCCGATTACTCATGATACCTCCCTCACCTTTTGCTCTCATGAGTTCTCTAGCCTCCTACTATGTATAAATGGTCATTCCCAAATTCCACCATAAGGAAACCTGAAGTACCTATGACAAACTTAAATCTGTACACGAGGCCATTTCTCATATCATCAACAAGAGCATAGCCTGTATGTGCGTGTCATGGGGATTGCCAAGATGAGGTCTAAGAAAAAGATGCATCTAAGAGGTGTCTCGGCATTAATTCTCACCATTCGGTTCTAGGGTATCCTGAAGATCCACTATACCCCTCCGCGGTAAGACGTCAAGTTCGACGGGAAGAGTTGCCTGTCGATCCTCAGTACCATGGTGCGTTATAGAACCCGATCAATGATAATACCACCAGGCAAATACCACCATAACTACTAACCTAAATCTCATTGAGAATGTGGGTGCCGACTTTCTGCTGCCCTCTCATATTATACTCGTCAAAATACCGGAGGAAGTAACTTGGATTATAGCATTCAGGAACTGATTATATACCCCTGTTCCTGTGAAGCATCGAGTTTCCAGTGCATAAACTCACCATCCGCACTAAAAGATGGCCCATATCATTTTGCTGAGGAAGTGGTTGTCAAGTGTCTAGTTCATGCATCGACGTGCGGAGCGGAGATTTTACGATGATGCGTGTATTTGCCAAGTCTTTCCAGACTGCAACATGCAGATATATAGCACCATCAGGAGACGCCAAGTATGTGACTATCAGGTGAGAGGCCTCAAACCAAGTCCCATGTAACAAGGTACGACCAGCCCATTGCGCATCTACCGAACTTGGCGAGGAACTCTTTGCCTGTGACTCCCCTTGCATCTTCGCGATCTCCGAACTTCGTGAGAACAAGCAGCCGTACCGACTTGCCCCGAGGCCCGAGATCGCTTGCATTGACGTCAAGCCAATACCAATATCCATTTGTTTCCATGGGTATCATCTCTTCCTTCTGGCCATCGCCTCTGGGAAGGCAGAGGAGCACCAGCCGCTCTTTGCCACCACACATCTTCTCTGACCAGTGTTCGCAAACCTTTGAGTATTGGAATCGCACAACCTCACCACTGTCAATAGGTATATGCCGCTGCTTCGGCTCTACACTGGACTCGGCGATGCCCTCTTCAGCAGTAGTCGAGCACATTCCATGGGGCTCGCCATCAATTCCTCCAGTATAGTAGTTTTCCCACGTGACTGGTAGGCCGTCCGCCCTGAATTGATACCGTGATTCGGACGGGAAATGTCTGAGGCCAAAGTTCTCATTTGCGTTGGTGAATTGCAGAGGAGAGAATTTGGGCTCGTAATTTTGCCCACTTACGTGTCCAGCACCCCAGCATGCGTCCAGCAACTTCCAGTCACCGCCGTCGATTCGCACTGCGTTCCAAGCATGTCCGGTTGGATCTGCTCTGGGTGGACGCTCGCCCTTCTTGAGCGGAGTGTATCCAAAGCCCTTCCCGTGACCGGTGACAACCACACACTCTAGGCCAGCTCTGTTGGCGATCGCTTTGTATGTTTCTGCATAACCTGCGCATACGGCTCTACCAGTAAAAATTGTATCTTCAGCCGTCATATGCCTTACATTGTTGCCAAAGAATGCAGCGGTATCATAACTAATGTTGTGATGGAACCAAGTAAAGATCGCTCGCGCTTTGTCCGTGTATGAGGGGAATGGACCACAAAGAACCTGAGCCAGATAACCCACTGGGTCATCCCTCGGCACAGAATCTCGAGGATACTGCGCAGCTACAGCATCTGGATCGCTCCAGTCCCGGCATATTAGGCATCCATATACTGGGGCAGATGGAGTGAGAGCCCGCGTCTCGAACGCTTCAATCTGGGCGACTGAGGGTCGAGAAGAGAGCGGCACTGGCGGCGGCTCATCTCCCGATTGCGACCGGTCTGGAATCGGAGGCCGTGTGGGCAGTGCTGGCTGGGAGTCCTTGGGTTTGTCCTTGTTGGAAAACCCAAGTATCACCGGTGTTCTAGGGGGCAACTTTCTGGGTTGCGGCGCCGCTTGCGGTTCAGGTGTAGCATCCGCTTGTGGTTTTGCTGGGCGTGAAGGCAGCCTTGGTGGCAGACCAGGTCGAGCTGCAGGTGCAGGCTCAATAGCCCGTGGGGGCTGCGGTGACGGCGGAGCACGATTGGGTTTCCCTGCCTCCCTGACGGCTGCTTCCTTTTCTCTTCTTGATGGGGGGAGTTTGGGGAGACTTGCAGGGTCATAAGCAGGTGGCAACTTATAACCAGCTCCATCAGAGTTGACACTCGTCACTGATGAAGGAGGCCTGCCCGTAGATAACGAGGATATCGCCGAGTTCTGCGATCTCTCTGACGAGCCAGAGTTCCGCCGCACTGTTAGGCTGGACTGCGTTGACGGTCGCCTTGGTGGTAAAGACGGAGCGGACTGCATAGTTGGGGTCCGACTTGGGAGCGGAGGCGGGGCTCGTTGTTGGACATCATGCTGACCATTCTGCGCTGTTAATTGTGGTGTCGACGCTTTTCGCGTAGGGCGAGGAGGGATCGCCGGATTACTCTGCGATAGCGTTGACGTGGTCGAAACAACCGGTACCGTCTGACTTCGGGACTCAATCGCTGGGCGGCCAGGAGGGGGAGGAGGCGGCGGTCGTTTGCGAACCGGTCCGGGACTTTGGCTTGGGGCACCTGTGAAACTCTTTTGTTTGTTGAGAGCAGCAATGCGCTCAGCTAGAGTGTTGAACTGGGGCTCCTCTGTGTCGGCCATTTCGATCCTCTAAGTCAAAAGCAAAGTTTCAAAGTTTTCGTATTCACAATATTTACTGAGACGGGAGGATGAAGGTAGTGTTGAAAGACACGATGGGATAATCTCTCTAGCTGGGAATGCAATTTTAAAGACTCGGGTGGTGTATACAACAAAGATAGTAACGACAGACGTGGAAGATGTCAATTAGGTTTCAATAAATAAGAACGACAGTCAGAGTGAGGATGAGGATGAGGATGGAAGAAATACGACAGACGATGATACGAATGACTGACGGGTGCCTGGGTTGACCGAAGCGCTGATTCAAGGGGTCCAGAGGGATCGAACATAGCCACACAGCCCTGCAGGTGGACCTCGAGGGCCGCAGTTTAGAGGGCGGGGAGAATGATAGAGCACCAGGTCCACCAACTATAGTTTCATGATGCTCTTAGAGCCAACGTTCGCTTTGCATTAGACTTGGAGAGCTGTTGGTCATGATTGCACTGACCGTAAAATACACGAGCCTCATAGTACGAGCATAATCCGTACACGAGCGTTAAATTGTTTAACTGGCTGTTGTACTCGTCGATCCACACAACCGTCTGCCCTCCAACCATTTGATAACTTGGCTCTCGGCAATTATGTGCCTAGACCCAGATACTTATGATGATCACAAGTAATCGAGATATTTCCCCCTTTTCTTGTTCTGCCGCGTAATCAAAGGCAAAGATCAATGAGTTTTCTGCCATATGAGACTAGTCAGCGCAATGTTGTCATGACAATTATATAGAGTACATATAATATCAGCGCTCAATGATCACGCCGTTCTCTCGCATAGTAAGCCCTAGTTAGAAGTGATCTCCGGATATGCAGAGAATAATTGTAGTGGTCAAAACACCGTGCCTCAGAATAGAATGAAGGGGACTCAGTCTAGATATAAATTACAATATCTAGCAAATAGGTGTTTTCTTGATCAATACCTTTGGTTTTATAAACTTCCATCCTATAACTGATATAGAAACAGAAGATTTCAAAACATAAAACAACCTAGATACTACCTACTACCTAGGTATGGATGCTAGGCTAACGGTGGGGGCGTTTTTGGGGCAGCGCACTAGCTAGAACCTACCGAAGCAGCTAAGGTAGCTTCCAGTACTGTATCAGACGGCTAGTGCATGCCTGGACGGGAGATCTAAGGCAACGTTAGTCATTAGTTGCACTTAAGAAACCAGGATGTGGTTTTGGAGATGGAGTATTTCATGTGGTGATCATGATAACTTGAGGCTGACAGGAAAATCATATTCATTTCCACCCGGGCTCCAATTATGTATCGTCTTGGTCAGTGTGCCTTTAACGCACACACATAAAGATAAAAACTTGCTGGGGTACATATATATCTTACTAGTAAATACACTGATTAAATGACTGAACAGAATCATCATAAAATTAATGTCTATCAACTTCAGGGATTAACACTTAGTAGGAGTCATACTTTGTGCTCTATGACTGCTGGCTTTCTTAATTAAGTTGCCGAAAAGAATGCATAGCAAGTCTAATGTTGCCACGTGTGTAGGATGAAGTCAGTGAAGATTTAATATAAATATTTAAGCTCTTTAACGTCAGTAGCAAACTTAGCTGTCTCTGTTTGTGACTCATATAGAGTTAGCATCCCCATAGTAGTGACACCTGGCATGAGATATATGTAAGTGTCCAGATAAAGTGTCTGAACACTATCATCCGTGGTAAAGGCATTTTATCATAAGAAAGGATCCAAGGCTGCTAAAAGCAGGATGCTCTACTTTCGTGACTCTGTATGAAACCGTGGGTGCCGTTAATATGCGCTGTTACACAACACCATTCGACCGGTAAAGACAACCTAATTAAGCATTCAGGCACTTTAGGCGTTAGAAAGGTTAAGATATTGCCAAACTTCAACAGCTAACTGCAACGTCTCCACTGCTGGAAGAAACACTATAGACTGCCTACGCGAATATACCTAGGAAGACGGTTATCTAGGTATCTTCCAGGTCAATGTTTCAGTGCGGCAAAGCCAAACTCGAGGTGCTGGCAGTCAGCAAGAGCTGCTACAACTACCTCTACTGAAGTAGAGTAAGTTTTTCCACTGAGTTACAGAGCAATGCGCACTGGGTCGAAGATCCTAGCTGGTCATCGTTGATCCGCCCCGCACTAGCCGCCATTCACAGCCAACCAACGACCAACAATTCAACTTCAGCTAACGTTAACCCAGAACTTGAGACTTGCGACTACGACCCCAAAGCGGCTCGCGACTAATTTGACTGGGACTTGCTTGGATCTGCTTCTCCTCCATCCTTGCCTCGTTCTTTTGTTCCATTCCCTACTCAACCGAATGCTTCTTATGTTCATACACATCTCCCTATCCCAATCGTCGCTTCGATATCTCTCTCATCTCTTAGGCCCCAGTTTATAGCCTCCTCTTTAGCTCCTGCTGATCGACGCTATCCATTCGAACACATCCTACATCGGCGCATCTGCATGCCCAGCGCATCGCATCGCATTACCCCAGTCGCATCGCGAAATATCCATCCATCCGTCGCATCGTCTGTTGAGACTGAGGTCATTCCACTGAGGGAGGACCTTCTCCTTCTACTCCTCGATCTATCCATCTGCTTCATTGTTCTCTCCTCGCCTTTGAGTCAGCCTAGTTGCCACGCTGCCCCCGCTCGATCATCATGGCTGCGGAGGCCACCGGCAACAAGGCTGCCACCCCACCCAAGCGCAGACTCACCTTTCTCGATCTCCCAGCTGAGACCCAGCAGGACATCTTGTCGCATGTTCGTGACTAGACTCACAATGCTGTACCTCGTGCGACATTGCTGACGACCCCATAGTGCTCCCAGTCCGAGTTGATATGTTGCGCTCTTGTATCTCGGCACTTTCATGAGTTGGCGTCCGCGCAGCTCTATCGTAGCTTCAACATCCTCTTTCCCGACGACGATGATGTGAGGTTCGAATCCCCAATCGATGGCCTTGCGGGTGGTCTCGACACCTTCACTACCAGTGAATACAACTACGCGAAGCACCTGAGAGAACTGTCTATGGATACAGTGAGCACTGGTGTGAAAGCCGAGCATGCCTACAAGCCGTATCTGTATAGTGCCAGTTGTGGCAAGTTCCTTAATACTTTGCTCTATCTGACTCTGAGGAAAGCCAAGTCACTCGAATCTTTTAGGTGTGTTCCACAGCCGGCTGTATCTGGTTTCTTCAAAAGTTCTTGGTCGCTAACTTTCTGGCCAGGTGGAACATTCGCGTTGAGTTGAGCAGACCGGTCTTTCGTGAGCTTCACAAGATCAAAACTTTGACAAAATTCCACATTCGCCTCCAAGCCGGGGATACATACTACATCACACCTCCTCCTCTCCCTCTTAGCATTGACACTCTGCCTCCGGCCTCAACTCACTGGCCAGATATTCCCCCTCCTCCGCCTGGGCCTCCCCCAGGAGTGTTTTCAGCCCCACTGGTCGGTGCCATGACATCTCTGCCAGTCATCACCTCACCACCTCCTCTGTTGCCATCGTCCAAACAATCTTCCAAAGCAAAGGGAAGTAAGCGAGACTCTGTGACACAGGAGCCCCCAACGCTCTCGGGTTTCAAAAAATTGAAAAGTCTTTCCGTTCTCGATATCGACAATCTCGAATTGGTAACGGAGCTCAAGACTTGCGTTCGAAATTCTTCCGCCACACTTACCGAACTGCAACTTTCACTTTCTGATAGTCTGGGCTTACAAGCTAGACGGCCGCCACCTGACTCGGACCCGGACGATTCTGATGTCGAGGATGAGTTTCAAGTGGTTCCCGTTTCCCAGAACACCAGCTTCGACGCGAGCGGCCCTGCGAAGACGTTTCGCTCCCAGGAAGAGCGCAAACTGCAAGAGGGCATACTGGGAAGAATATTTGATGTCGAACCTTTTATTACCAAGAAGCCTGCGCTTATCCAGAGTCCTCGCGAGGTGGCAACCAGTCAAGAGGATGATCAGGAAGCCGGCACTAACGACAATTCAGAAGATCCTCGTGAAGAATTTGTGTCATCTATCCGCAGTGTTTCAACAAGACTTATGTCACATATAAATGGCACTCGTGACTTCTCGGCAGCCCAACAGGATATTTTGGACGTGATTGAAAAGGCAGCAAGAAAATACGTGGATTCATGTGAGCTCCCTTCTCAGTCAAACAACGAACCGTCCGGTAGTACCTCAGCGACACCTAAGAATGATGAGGAGCAACAGAGTGATGAGAGTGATGGGTCGAAACCGACGATAACAGAATCAAGTTCGAACCCATTGTCTAAGAATAACGACTCAAACAATGATACATCACCAGACGATATCGAAATTGAGCATCTGGATACCATAGATGAGTTGGAGGTGGATTTGGACGAACAACAGACCAAGGACATTGGGGAAAAGGAAGCTGGAGTCAAAGAATCAGAAACACCCGAGGCAGTTGCTGATCCCTCTGGCTTACCATCGAAGACACCGGATGCTAACTCAGACTCATCAACGACCCAAGGGCTGAACAAAGCACACACAAACTTGGATACGCAGCGGGTGAATTATGAGTCCCTACTGTCAAATCTACAGCAGTTGCAGGACGAGAACGATGCTTTCATCCAGAAGATCAAGGCGATCCGTGTGCAGGGTACTGTTGCTGAGTTGGAGCAGTTCAAGGACTCAGTAACACAACTAAGAGAACTAAGTCAGGAAGCTGAACATATCAGAGGCGCGATCAAAACGACACATCTCGAGATCAAACATATTGAGGATCAAGTCTTCGGACAAGCTCAAAACAACGACGGCGAAAAGTCACGACGCTCGATCGACGAATACCTGCGTGACACTCGTGGCATTGCACTAGAAATACTGAGCATTCATCTCATCCCTGTAAAGGCATCCGTTCTGTCTAGAGCTATTGACCTGAAATGCATTAAGAACCTGACCCTGCTTAATGTTGGTAATCAGGGCCCAATCTGGACATTGCTCTCCAAAG